GCGCTAAACTAAGCTGAGCTGAGCTGAGCTAGGCTAAGCTAAACTAAGCTAAGCGAAGCTAAGCTAAGCTAGGCTAGGCTAAGCTAAGCTAAACTAAGCTAAGCTGAGCTAGGCTAAACAAGATGAGAAAAGCAAAGCTAAGCTAAGGGAGCGCAACTGGGGGAACCGCGGGGCGGATACTGGGGGAACCGCCCGGGGCGGGTAGCACTGCCCGGCCCTTTAAGCCAAGAGAGTAAGATTCCTTCTAGGCAGAGTCTAGGTACGGAAAAATCCTAGGAGGCCCCCACGGCCTCCAGAGCACCCCTCACGAGGTCCAGGGGGCCCAGGGGCTCCAAAATGGAGCTAAAAGCTGGGGGCACCTTAGGCCAGGGGGGCACCTTTGGCAACCCCCGAACCTTGCGAGCCGGGTACTGACCTGGCCATTCTGAGCCACCCACGCTTGAGAGCAGCCTCTGCGCGGGCCCCACTTCGCGAGCCTTTCGCTGGCACCTCCTCTAAAGCGTTCAGGAAGATACAAGGGTAGCGGCGGGGAGCAGAAAAGGCGAGGAGAGGGGAGAGGGTGGGGCATGGCAAAGGATAGGATCAAATGGAAAGCGCTTTTCGATTGTTTTGCACAGCTGTGTTCTAGAGATCGGACCTCTGAATTTCCGTCGTGTCGTCGTTCGTCCCTGGCCCTCGGACCTTGGACATTTTTTTTCGTCGTGTCGTCTCTGGCCCTGGCCCTAGCCCCCTCCCATGCCCTGGTCCGAGCCAACTGGCCCTGGTCCCAGCCCCCGTGGCCCTGGCTCTAGTCCCCGCCCCTCTCCCACCTCCCCTGGATTGGTCTTGGTCCCAGCCCCCCTGGCCTCGGACCTCTTTGTTTTCGTCGTGTCGTGTCCCTGGCCCTGGTCTGGCCCCGGCCCCCTCCCTTGCCCTGGTCCCAGCCCCCCTGGCCCTGGCTCCAGCCCCCGCCATCCTCAGACCTCATTATTATATTGCACGGCTGTGTTGTAGAGCTCGGAGCCCTTTATTTTCGTCGTCGCTCGTTTGTTCGCTCGCTGCCCCCCCCCCACAACACCCCCATCCCGGACTCCCCTGCCCCTGCCTCCTCATTATGGTCATGATGGCCCTCACACCGCCTCGCCTGTCCCTCGCCCCCTCGTGCAAGAGCCAAGGCATGCATGCTCCTTGTTTTTCGCGATAGCGGCCGTTTCACGCCCTGGCCGCCCCCCTCCCCGCCAGGTAACGTCACGATTCGGGCTGACCTCCGCACTGTCTCTGGGTAGTCCTAGACGTTCCCAAACGGCGCTCGCTCGAAATATCTCGAAATCCGACGTTTCTGGCCCCGCCCCTCTCCCCCCTCCCCTGGCAACGCCCGCTATCACTTGGGTAAGGAAGGCCTCTGCTTGCTCGGGCGCGACGTCCAGGAGGGGGAAGACGAAAGAGGCGCGCAAGGGCGAGCGAGGCTCGGGGCGCCGAATAGACGGCAACTGGCATCGGCCGCCACCCCCCCTCCCGTCCCGCCGAGCAGGGGAAGGCGCGGTCTGCGGTCCATGTTGCGCAGCGGGCCGTCCCAGAACGAGCCCACGTACACCTTCGTCACCTGCGCGGGGCTTGGAGACGCTTCTCGCCCCAACTCCACGCTGATCACCACGCCGCGCTCCGTCGAAACAGCTCCGCCTAAACGATCAACCGGGCCGATGCAAATCGGTCGACCGACCAGGCAACACCTCGCTGTTTCAGTTTCCGTCCTTCTTTTTCCATGTCGACCTCGCACATGCCCCGCGCGCGGGCGTCCAACCAATCAGTCCGTACGCGTCCACTCTCCTGGCCCTCCAGCCCTGCCCCTCGCTCACGTCCACGCTGCGGCGGGTTCGTGCGGCGTCGGCGCGCGCAAAAGGTTTTTGACACCGCGTCGATCGATCCACCTTGAATCGATCGCGGCCTCTATCGTTCAAAGTTGAGTTCAGTCGGGTCCAGTGGCGTTATTACTGTGTCCATCGGCGTTTCCGCATCGAAGAATTCGACCTTAAACGCCTTCGCCGGCGTCGCTAACGCGCCAACGCCACATGAACCTACCATACCCCTGGCGCCTCTGGGGTGTCGCACACCTTGCCGAGGTTCCACATCAACGCCCCGTTCACTCTCAGGAGTTCCTTGCCGGCGCAACGGCCGCGGAGCCCTACGATGCTGCGAGTGTGGCTGGAAGGAGACCAGTATACAGTATGGCTGCAGAGGGAACGGTGGCGATCGTGCAGGTGGAAGCTGATGCCGATGCTGAACCGACCACGATGATGGTTGTGCATGTATACCGACTGGCTGATGACAGAAATGAATACTATGCCTTTGAAGATGACGGGCGTGATCGCATCGCATGCTGATCCCGACGACTGATCACTCGAGTGATGGTCCTTATGATCGTCGTCAGCGCCATTCTCCAGATTTCATGGCCAGGAAATGGATCTCTGCCACAATTCAGATCGGCCAAGGAGGAGGAGGAGGAGGAGGAGGAGGAGGAAAGAGCAAGGGTCAAGGCGCTCGGGAGCCGTCTCCAGCTCAGTGCAGGAGGGAGGAGAGAGAGAATCGGAGATGATTTTTCTATGGGCCTTGCAAGAACCAATCGCTGTGTATCGCATACTCGCAGGCGAGCAACAGCCGCCACGCGACCTCAACACGCATGTTTCGCATGAGCTAAGGCCCGCCCAGAACAAAGATAGAGAGAGAGAGAGAACGAACGAACGAACGAACATCATTGGCAGCTGGGGTCTCTGTCCACGCAGACTAGAATCGAGGCTGTAAAAAAGTTCGCTGCCGATGTGACTCTCAGAGCCTCCAAAGTCGCCAGCCCAGACCACGGTCCCGAGAGAAGCGGGAACTGGCCTGCTAGCGCTGAGACGCGTGGAAGGCCCACACTCGGGTCAGATAGCACGCACCGACTGTCGTTTCTTCCTCCGCCCCCCCCCGCTCGCCCGCGACGCGACGAACGCCCCCTCCTGCTCCCTCAGGTAAGAGAGCGCTCTACCTGGGTCAAGCCGGCCATCTCTCAGAGCCTCCGCCATGCGAATTGACAAGATCTGAAGCCTGCGAGCGAGCCGCTCGAGCTCCGCCTCCTGGTAAAACAACTTGGCGGGGTCACCTGGGCCTGAGCCTCTCGCCCACGGCCAACTCGTGCCTCTCGGTCCAAGGCGGTGGAAGACGAGGGAAAGGACAATGCGGGAACCGACGGAAGAGGAGGAGGAGGAGGAGGAGGAGGAGCCTCTGAACCTCTAACACGCAAGCCCTGAACAGCAGATGGTCCACTCACACATACTGCAGCTCCTCGAGAGAGAGAGAGAAAGGGCCACAACGGACGCAATGCAGGAGGGAGGAGAGCGAGAGGGAGAGGACCGATGATCGAGGATATATATATATATATATATATATAGAGAGAGAGAGAGAGAGAGAGAGAGAGAGAAAGAGGAAGGGCCACAACGGACGCTCGGCCGGCGCTGCGGCAGGGCCACCCCGGGGAGGATGCTGGCGCCCACCACAGCGCACACGAGCGGCAGCCTGGCCCCGCGGGGTGCTGGACCGATTCTGCCGAGGACTCGTTTTTTCCTCGAAGGCCCCGAGGCAGAACGTAACCACCTGCGGCCTTAGGCCGACCTTGCGCCACGCGCGGCCTTCTCGCGCTGTCTGGTCCTCTCCGCTAAGGCCGTCATTCCAGGCCTCCACCAAAATAAACCTAATCCGAGGGAGGAAGGACTCCCTCCCCTCAGGGGTTGGTCCGAGGTGCCCACAGCCTTTCGGTCAAGGTCAGAGCCCCTGGGGCCCGCTGGGCCTCGTGACGGGTGCTTTGGATGCTTGGGAGTCCTGTGGGCACCTCGGGCCAGGGGCACTTCCGGCAGCACCAGATCCTCCACCTGGCGAAGGGGCCTCCTCCCTCCGAGGGAGCAGGAGGGAAGGCACCAGGCAGTGCGCACAGCCGCGGGGCGCAAGCCGCCCGGGGCCCTGCAGTGCAGCTCGGCGCTCGCACGCAGGGGCGGGCGGAGGAGGGGAGCGGGAGACGTCTGGGGCGCGGGAGCCGGCGGGGGGGAGGCGCAGCGGCCGAGGCCAGGCACGGTGCTTGCCATCGCTCGGACGTCCGTTCGCCGTGCAGTGGGGCAACTATCTTCGCGCTTCGCGCTCCGCGAAGGGCGATGACCTTCGCGCTTTCGCGCCCCCCCCCCCGGAACAAGATGGAAGACTCGCGCCTCGCCCTGAAATTGACCAGACCGCGAAGCGCGACTAAACTCGCACCCTCGTGATCCCAGCTGCATGGCTCGGTTTCGTGACCTTTCTATTCCGCAGGATGATCCGAGGTACTCCTCGCTGGTCCTCGCCGAGGAAAGATGCATATGTCGCAAGTGATATTGTCAGCGATTCGGTTCAGCGAGCATGATCAAGACAGCATTGCTCAAGGGTTGTGGAATGTGCTGTCGAATTCTCACCGTGTGGTGAACTGATGAAGAGAACGTGTGGCAACATGGTTCGGATGATGTGTCTCACTTGCACGTCAAGGCTGGATGACGGAAAACAAGAGAGCTGGTCCTGGGTTGTGACTTGGTCGGCCTTATTCAGTACCACGTGAATCTTGCTGCTCCACTCCTCCAGAGCGCCAATGCACCTGGCCATCATTGGCGGAAAGCCCATAATCGAATCGATAAGTCGGATCGGCGATCGAAATGAATCGGATCGACGATGATCGGCGGAAATCGGCAGCCCAGCCGGGAGAGGTCGGATCGGCGGCACTTGGCAGGCTGGTAAGGCCTCCGTTGAGAAACCAGCCAGAAGCCGAATCGGAATCCCAAATCGAATCGCATCGAAATCCGAATCGGAATCGAATCGAGTCGGAGCCGGAGGAGTCGCAATGAGCCCAACATAAATTCAAAAGGAACCTCAACGGTGGTCGCCATATATGGCGTCTCTGAGTTGGCACCGTTGCAGCGTTCGGTGCGGAGTAGTTGGGAAAAAAAAGGAGCGCACATAGTCATCCAGCTCACAAGGGGCGCCTTTCTTTTTCATACCTCTGTCTATCTCTCTATATCTGTATAAACCTAAGAATCAATATCCTCATATATTGTTCTCTCTCTCTTTTTCTCCTGATCCCCATCTCTCTGCGCAACAAGAAGAACATTAACGCGTCCCTGATGTGAACCCGTCTACCCCCATCTCATTCGTGCCCCTTTCTGGAAGGTACGCAGCAAGGGGTCATGGAAGAGATATGGAAATGCAAGAGAAAGCGCGCAACACATATTGACGGTCGGTAGCCGATATCAGGAAGGAGGCCATCATATTCGAAACTAAGAAGTAGGAGGAAGTCTAAATAACAAAACATAGTGACACAAGCATGGATCCCAAACAGCAGGCAACTGCACGCTCAATGTGCAATTTATCTGGCCCAATCTGCGCATGTTTAACTATACGTGTGGAAATTTACACGTGCAACAAACGTTTTGCAATCCGTGCTGCGTAATCTACGGAAGGAAATATGTGCGGTGCAATCTGAATGTGATGCGATCAATGTGGTGCGATCGATATGATGCAAATTCTGTGATGCAATGTGTGTGGTGCGATAGTTGCAGGTGTGTATGTATGTACGTATGTATGCACGTAGGTCTGTAAATGTGTAAGTAAGTAGGTATGGTGCATGTAGGGATTGGTGTACATGTGCATGTATGTATGCATTTTTGCCGGCATGCATGTACGTATGTATGCCTGTACGTGCGCACGTACGTACGGACGTACGTGCGTATGCATGTATGAATGCATACATGCGTACCTGTACACATGTACATATGGGAAACTGTGCGTGAATGTAAATATGCGTGTATGGACGTATGTAAATATGGTAAAGGCCGCTCCTGTGATCTACCCTGCTCCCTTCCTGGCGCTCGGAATGGTTAGAGTAAGGGTTTCATTCTATACAACGCACAAGTAATCAACTCATTTGCCTCCACACAAATGATTCCAATTGAAAGCCATCGAATAGGATTCCTTTTGGAGACAGCTTAGAATTCTTCTGTAGGGCATTACAAAAAATATGCCTCTTGTATCCCAGGCAATAGGAATCCTTTTGGTAAACCGGTACAAAAGGATTCCCATTGAACGCCATCCAATAGGATTCTTTTTGGAAGCAACGTAAAAAATCCTTCTGTAGGGCATTACAACAAATCCTACTGTATCAGAGGCAATAGGAATCCAATTATCGGCAAACCTGTCGGAACCACCGCCGACGGAAAAAATCAAAACGAAACAAAAAAATGACAATCTGGGAGAGCAGAAATGTTGTATTTTTAATTGTAAAGCTGTTTTCAGTTGAAAACCAAACAACACACAAAAAACAAAAACAAAAAAACAAACTGGAACCTGCGCCTCCTCATATTGATTTCTACTGGTCGGCGCACACTAGGAATCCTTTTGTGAACCTGCACAAAGGATTTCTATTAAACGGCTTCAGCAAAAATCCTTTTGAAAGCTTTTCAAAAGGATTCCTTTTGTTTGGCGCTACAAAAGGATTCCTTGTGCATCCCAGGCAATGGGAATCCTTTTTTTTGCAAAACGGTACAAAAGGCTTCCTATTGAAAGTCATCCAACAAAAATCTTTTTGGAGGCAACAAAAAAGAATCCTTTTGTAGGGCATTACAAAAAGATTCCTATTGTATCCCAGGCAATAGGAATCCAATTATCGGCGAACCTGTCCGAACCGCCGCCGACGGAAAAAGACAAACAAAGCAACCATTTGGGGGAACCAAAATGCTGTGTTTTAAATTGCAAAACTTTTTTTTTCAGGTGACCCCCCTCCTCCCAAAAAAACAAGCTGGAACCAAAAAAAAACCTGTGTTTTCACCGTGTTTGCGCCTCCTCAAATTGATTTCTAGTGGTCCGCGCACAATAGGAATCCTTGGGTGAGCCTGTACAAAAGGGTTTCGATTGGAAGGCCTTCAATAAGAATCGTTTTGAAAGCATTTCAACAGGATTCCTTTTGTTTGGCGCTACAACAAGATTCCTCTTGTGCAGACCCACAAAATGGTACATATAGTGCGCCGACCAATAGAAATCAGTTTGAGGAGGCGCAAACACTGTGAAAACACCAGGTTTCCTTGGTGCCAACTTTTATGCATTTATTATTTATGTATTGGTCTTCAATTAAAAAACAGCTGTGCAATCAAAAACATAACATTTTTGTTCCCCCTGGTTGTTTTTTTGTGCGTTTTTCCTTGTCGGCGGCGGTTCCGACAGGTTTGCCGATAATTGGATGCCTATTGCCTGGGGTACACTAGGAATTCTTTTGTAATGCCCTACAAACGGATTCCTTCGATGCTGCCTCAAAAAGTCATATTGCCTGGGATTCATTAAGAACCCTTTTGTACTGGTGTACAAAAGTACAAAAGGATTCCTACTGCCCGTGATACAATAGGAATCCTCTTGTAGCGCGAAACAAAAGGAGTCCTTGTGAAAGGCTTCCAAAAGGATTCTTATTGGAGCCGTTTAATCGGATTCCTTTGTGCAGGCTCATCTGTCATCTGAGGAAGCGCAAACACGCTGAAAACGCAAGGACTCCTTGGTTCCATCTTGCCTTCTTTTTTGTATGTGTGTCTTTTTTGGTTGAAATCACATATTTTTGCTCCCTCAGATTACTGTTTGTTTTTTGTTGTGTATGTTTTCGCGTTTTCCCCCGTCGGCGGCGGTTCCGACAGGTTCGCCGATCATTGGATTCTTATTGCGTGAGATACAGCAAAGATCCTTTTGTAACGCCCTACAACAAGATTCCTTTGATGCTGCCTCCAAAAAGAATCCTATAGGTCGGCTTTCAGTCGGATTCCTTTTGTACCGGTTTACAAAAGGATTCCAATTGCCTGGGATGCACAAGGAATCCTCTTGTAGCGCCAAACAAAAGGAATAGGCGCAAACACGGTGAAAGCACCGGGTCTCCTTGGCCCCAGCCTGCGTTTTCTTCTTTTTTTTTTTGGGGGGGGGTGTTTCGTTCGTCTTTTTTCTCTACCTGGGCTCTGCCTAGACGGGTTCTTACTCCAGTGGAAACCGCCCCGGGCGGTTCCCCCAGTCCCCGCCCCGCGGTTCCCCTAGTCCCCTGGGAGTAGCTTTAGCTTAGCTTTAGCTGAACTTTAGCCCAGCTTTAGCTTAGCTTTAGCTTAGCTTTAGCTTAGCTTTAGCTTAGTTTTAGCTTAGCTTTAGCTTAGCTTTAGCTTAGCTGTAGCTTAGCTTTACTGTTACTACTAATGCTGCTTTCCTAGGGGCTCCAACTCCGAGGTAGGGTCGCACTGGGATAAGTTGGTTTTCAATTGAGAAGCAGATTGGCAATTTACAGCGCAACATTTTTACTCCCTCAGATTGTGCTGTTTTGTATGTTTCTGCATTTGTCGTCTTTCTCCCGTCGGCGGCGGTTCCGACAGGCTTGCCGATAATAAGATTCTTATTGCCTGGGATACACTAGGAATCCCATTGCAGTGCCACACAGCAGAATTCCTTTTATGCTGCCTCCAAAAGGAATCCACTTGGGCGGTTTTCAATAAAATTCCGGTTGTGCCGGTTTACAGAAGGATTCCCATTGCCCGGGATGCAACAAGTATCCTTGTGTAGCGCCAAACAAAAGGACCCTTTCGACGAGCTTCCAAGAGGACTCCAATTCAAGCCGTTTAATAGGATTCCTCTTGTACAGGCTCACAAAAGGAATACTATTGTGCCCCGATCTTTAAAATAATGCGAAGAAAACGTCGTTGCGGAAAGATGCACAGCGCCATCAAACCCATTTCAACGCACCCCGCGCACGTTTCGCGCTTCGTAAGGAGCCCAACCGAAAACCCAATGGGCAAATCCGCATGGCACCACGGACCCATGTCGGGAACCCCCTTGCGAGCGAGCGCTCTGTCCTTCTTCCCCGTTGCCGAGCAGCGGTCGCACTCGCATCGGCGAGTGTTGTTTTTTTCTCAGCCCGGCAATCTGACCAGCCCTCAGTGGGCAGTTGAAATCGTTTTACTTGGTTTGGCTCGAGAACACCGAACGTTGGCAGCACGCAAACAGGTGCATGATTCCTGTGGACTTCGATCCCGCACTCAAGGATGTTATGTCTGTTTTCAAACTCGTCTGCGGCCTGGCTAGCGAGCGCCGAGCAGCTGTCCGCGAGGCCTCTACGTGCTGTCGCAATGTGAACGCAGAGGCCTCACAGCAATGCCCGAAACGCGTCGCCTGCTCCCTCCCAGAGGTCAGATCCGACGCGCCAGCGGCGCCACCGCGCAGCGCGAACTCGGGCGCTGCACTTCCGGGCGCCTGAAGCGGAGGAAGAGCGAGTCCCGATGTGCTTCCGCGAACACCTCCAGCAGCGGTCGATGATCTGCGCGCCCCCCTTCGCGTGAACAGCGTTCCTTTCGGCGCGGTGAGAGAAGAGCTGAACGTACGTCGCCTTGAGTTTGTTGCCACCCCCCTGTTTCTTCAGCTTGTGCACGACGTAGTCGTGCACCGCGCCGTCGAGCTTCTTCTTTCGGTTCATCCCGAGGTTCTAAGCCCTGGCGCCGTCCGTGTGAAGCAGGATCGTGCGCCCTTGCAAGTGTTTGTTTGCCATCGGCGCCCAATCCTTCCCCGCGATGGGGCCTGGGCCCGCGGCGCGGG